GAACATTCCTCTTACTTAAATGCTAACAGCTTTTTCTAAAAGTGTTTTCCCTTCTTATTCAACACTTTTCTACTAGATTCTATAAAGTGATTTATACGTGATAAAGTGATTTATATTTAAAATAATTTACATCTCAAAAAAATACAAGAGGAAAATAGGAAAATCTACTTTTCAAATTCCAGCTTCTAAAATACAGAAGAGGTATAGGCATTTTCAACACACAATAAAAGGCAAGTGTGGGTCCCAGTATGCATCTTCTGAAAAAATAAGTCAAAGACTCTTAATAATTCTTATTTATTCACACTGTTTATAGGGATTAAGCAATAATGTTTTAAGTGATAGGGGTTGGATTAATTGGTTTTTTCCCCCATATCAGTCTTCGATTTAAAATTAGTTGCGTAGGCTGCCTGGTCTAATCAGTCAATAGGTATGATTGTGATACAATACCTATAATCTGATTAATTATAACACTGTGTTAACTTGTGAAGCACCCCCAAGATGCATTTGAACTATGATGGTAATAACAACTATATTAATAAAATAAAATACAGTAAATGGAAAGTAGAGAATAAAAGTTTGTGGTGTAGATGTTTTCGGAAGATCTTTTTTCTCTTCATGTGCAGGTTCAGAATATGTAAGTAACAGAGAAGAATTTTGAATGTTCCACATATGCCTTGAGCAATGATCACAACAGCTTGCTTTGTTAAGTGTGATGTTCAATAAGACAATTTTTACCTCAGCCAGTTAATAGCTCTTTCAGGCTCTGAATAAGTAAAATGTTTAACAGCTGCTCGTACATTTTTAAAGTTCTTGAAGCACACTGTATTCTGCAGAGTTAAGAGTCACAGAAAAAAGAGGAAATGAGAGAAAGTGAAATTTTGACCATGACCACTGTTGAGTATCCACAGTTCTTAGAGATGTTCTTACCATTGTAAACTTGGAGCCAAAGGGACTTGTGCAGTAGCACTGCCTCAGTCTGGCATTACACAGATGACAGAAACTCTCCCAGTAAAGGTCAAATTCAAGCTTTATCTGTGAGAGAGCTTATCTTTGAAAAAGATGTTTATTATTGAGGAAAGGCTGTCAGGTGATAAAGAAATTATCACTTTCCCATGTAACCGATTCCAAAGGGTAAATGCCACTGGGACTTTCAAAAAAGAAACACTTCATTTTGAATTTGTTCAACTTTTACATACAGTTCCAATGTCCCTTTTCCTAAATGATCAAAGCTGATTGCTCTGATCTCCTCCTGGTATATATGCTCAGGAATTCCTAGCAACACTTTGCAAATTTGAGTGGAAATAAAAGAATTATGTTTATTTTCAGAAAGTGCTGATATTGGCTCTGTCTAGACTGTTAAGCAAGTACTTTCTGCACTTAGGCTATGTTCCAAATACAAAGAGGAAAGTTGGGTGCATAGCCAAAGAGAAATCTACAGTGTGCTTCAATATGTTCCCCAGACTGGATCAATCAAAACTAAGACTTCTGGGCACACTGAGCAGCATACTTACCCTGTTGAATGTTTGCAATCAATAAATCCTAAGCCTTGTATTTAGTATTCACTGGGGAGGAACAACTTAAGAACACTAATTTGTTCCTTCATGGAATGTTGGAGTTGCATGATGAAAAAAGCCACTGGAATGTTTACTTCTGTGATCCATCAGCTTTTTTTCAGTTGAAATGCTGATGCTTTTGTTTTCCTCATTGAGTTGTTCCAGCTCATATATACTATGCACCTATCAAACCTAGTTTCTTAAGAGAATTGATGTCTACTTTTTATATTCAATACCTCTTATGTTGTCTAGACTGAAGGTAGACTTACATCCTTAAGGCAGCTTTTAACTTAGCTATAGGTTCTCTAGCTCTATCTGGGAAAGATTTTGATATGTCATTGTAATTTTAAGGGATTTGATGCCAATCTATCTTAATCTCTTTAATAGAATCTACAATTTCCTAATCATGATAAATCATTAAAAAAAGATTTTATGAAATAAAATATAAAGATAAAATGTTTTACCAGAGGAAATATAACTTTAAGATATAGGTAGATGAAACAATTGTTTTGCCTGAAAATTGGAGGAAGAGAGACATAAATCAAAATGTCTAGAATTCTGAACAGGGTCTCACTACATACAGTATCTTAAATGATAATTTAGTTTTCTGTGTGGCTATGCTATGAATTTAATTTCTTTCTTGTGTGTCTTTCTTCATTTCTGATCTTATGCTCCAAAAGCAAAATAATATTCAAAATGTGGGGCCCCCTGGTGGTCTAGTGGTTAGGATGCGGCGCTCTCACCGCCACGGCCCGGGTTCGATTCCCGGTCAGGGAACTCCTCCGGGCAGATGGAGCTCGTCAGCCCTGTAAGGCCATCCATCTAAGAGAAGGTCACTCTAAACAAACCTACGTCCTGAGGACCTCGCTGCCACTGTCTAAGCTTTCTCGGCCCCGGCAGATGAACCTCAGGATTAAAGGGCAGGCTCAGTTCAGCGCACACTGCGCAGGCTCGAAGGGTAAAGACCTTTCCCAAATCTTCGCGAAGACTGGCCATGATTCAAAATATTCATCTTCATAAGCCCTGTTGTTCAACATTATTTACTTTCTGGGGGCAAATAAGTTTGGATAGTAGATACTGCTAACTAGTGATTTCCCTGCAAGTGTCTTATTAATTTTACCTGGATAAATATTAAGTGTAACATTTGTGAATTGATGTAACATTAGTAATACAATTTATAGGTGAAATGTTTTTACCTTGGGCAAAATATAGTCATGGGCAACAATGTAGTTGGTTGGAACTCAGTAGTTAAAAGGAGGAAATAATTTTATTTGAGTATGGCCAGGACACAGGGACTATTGCATTATGTTTGTGAGCAGAGCTATTTGGAAAACTAAATGCCTCTAAATATTCATGGCCTCAGATTAATATTGCATCAAAAAATGACAGACAGTGGCTGTTTCACTTAACCAGAAATACCAGGCATTGCCAAGGTTAAAACAAGCTTAGTTCTTTCTTATTCATTTACTAAGTGAAAAGTGTGTGACTTTGATGCTAATGTAGCACAATAAAAATGAAATCTGTGACAGTTTCCTGATGCCAGTGGACTACCCTGCAAACACTATGGAACCATCTACCAGGGTAAAAAAAGAATCAGTTTCTTAACTTCAAGAAAAATATATTGATCAAAGCTGTTGAGTCTTTGCAACAATTAAATGATGTATAAAATGCTTATAGTGCACAGACAGAATATGTACAATGCATCTGCCTGTTATTTGCAGTAATACTGTTCTTAGAAGTGGCTAGAAACCTATCAAGCACAGAAATGAAGGGATGGACAATATGTATGAAGAAATGGATTAGAAATAGCATACAATTCCTTTACTTCTATTTTTTTTTTTCTACTCTTCAAACTCCCCAGATGCCCAAACAAGACTATGTAATAAGTTTTAAGGGTAATTAAAAGGACTTTGAAAAATCTTGGTAAAGTAAACAAGGATACCACTGCATCTAAAATTTGCTGAAATCCTTGTTAATGTACTCACTATTGTCAAATTAAAATATTTGTCTACATTTTGCATAGGACTAGGAGAAATCAGACAAGAGGGCAGGAGGGAATAGCTTGGGGGTTTCAGGAAAGTCGAGTTCCAGGTTGAGAACCCTATTGGATGCTTTGAAGCAACAAGCTTATGGAATGAGGCAGAAATAGGTAAGAGTTACCTGCTAGGTGTATATGTGGCCCCACACAGAGATAGACATGGAAAGCAGAAGTAATCATCTGGAAAGATGATTAACAAACAAGGAGTCTGACAGCAAAAGGAAAAAAAAAAAGCATAGCAAATCAAGATGAGGGCTCTGATCCGGCAATATTATGTACATGTTTAACTACACGCTTGGGACTTGTTGGATTTATAGGAAGTACTCACATAAATAAGGTGAACCGTCTGTAGAGTTGAGGCAAAGGGCCAAAGCATCTGTCCTCAATCTTATAATACAGTGATGCAAAATAAATTACCTGAAAAATAATGGAACCTTTAATTCCAGTACTCTGAGCCTTTAATTCCTCAGTGTATTATATGTGGATTCATTACAGTATATGCACTGAGTCTATTTAAACAGCTAATACAGCATGCAAAATAAACTTTTCTGATGTAGGAAATACATTCTCTTCTAAGTGAAAACTGAACTCATTTTACTTCATAATCTGGTTTATGTCTTCCACATGACCCAAGTGATTAAGGCCAAGTGGAATATATTTTTTGGTAATACTTGCTGTAATAGTCATGGGTTTAGCTTGTATAAACCTGAATGTCATTACTAATGAGGAAAAAGAATTTTGTTTTTAAGCAGAAATTGTCCTTTTAAGTTAAGGTTGAAGAAACTGTGTAATAATTCTTGCATAATGATAGTAACTAATCTTGATTTCTCTTGTTGGTCAGTAGTGTTTCATGCATAAATCACTGGGGATCATATCTATGGCTGACAAAGATGATGTAGTTTATTATAGGTTATTAGCCTAGAGATAATATTAGTATAGGGTGCAAATCTACCTGAAAGTCAAACCTAGAACAAAATTTGAAGGAGTGAGAAATCCATTGATTAGCTTTTGATTAGTTATTTAGGGAGGATTCAAAACACTTTTCCTGGAAAAAAGCAAAAGTTGAATGCTAGACAGATATCTCAGGTACTTAACGCATGCTGTAACTGACTTTCTCAATGAAACTGAACTATTAGAAGAAAGAACAATGGTCAGAAAAATGACATTTCCTGAAATAGCAGCTATAAAAGGGGCTTGAGCTGTTTGGTTATCTTAAAGTGGGCTAAACTTCAAAGTTTATAAGGAAGGAGTTCGAAAAATCAGCAGATAATTCCAGTGTATGTGTCATTACGTTGTTGTTGGATACAATGGAAAATTCTGGTCCAGAGAGGAAGTAGGGCATAATAGGCTAAGCTTAATAGCATTTGTTTACATTAAATCATCTGTTTTATACAGATTTTGACAGTGTTGCTGAGACTGTAATCTTCAATGTCCAGATTTGAACCCCTTCAACAGCATCAGAGATACAAGTGAGTGCATTTCAGTTGTCTTTATTTTTGCAATTCTTGAACATCTGAGGCTTCCATTTTCTGCTGGCTTCTTTCTTTTTATTGCTTTTTTAAGAGTGTATTAGGCTAGAGTTATTGCTGGTTTACTCTCTCACCTCATTGCTCACCTCAGGCCTTTACAATCCTTAGAGTCCTTTAAAATTTTATTTCCATTTTCATCAGGTGCTGGCTCCTCTCCATACTCTGGCATTTTAGTTATTCAGGGATGCACACTGTAAGCCAGCTTACACAGTTTGCAGCCTAATATTCAGTGTTTGCAAGGAGTTTAACTGTTTACATTCATTTTTAGCAAATACTGATGGCTAATATCTGTTCTTCTGATAAATGGTGAGAAAATTGATGCTTTACCTTTCCCTTCCTAATTTTTATCCTGAATCTCAAAGGCTCTGCTTCATGTTCTGGGTTAATAGCCCTTCAAAATTTTAATTTAGAAATCATCTGGGCATTTGGACAGAAACCTGATATAATTCATTCTGAGCTGGCATGTCCCATGTAGTGGAACACCTGCCCTAGAAACATCCTGCAACACAATCTACCTGGGCCCACAACTGAGAAGGTGATATTGGTCAGTACAGAGGAAGGAGTGGGAGTCTTACACATGGAGACTCCCATGAAGATATTTTTGAGATCTTGAGGCACATCAGGTAAAATTTAAGCTTTGTGAAGATAGTGGGAAAAAAGGTCTGTGGTATAGGCTAGATTTGACCTGTGTTGTGGAAAAACCCTTATTGATAGCTAAGCATCACATAGCCACTCACTCTCCCCCAGTGGAATGGGAAAGAGAATACGGTTAAAAGTGAGAAAACTCATTGATTCATAAAAAGACAGTTTAACATATAAAGCAAAACCTGCGCCCACAAACAACTGAAACAAGCTATTCACTCACCACTTCCCATGGGCAGACAGGTGTTCAGCTACCCCCAGGAAAGAAAGGCTCCATCACATGTAACACTGACTTGGGAAGACAAATGCCCTCACTCCGAATGTGTCCCCTTTCTTTTTTTTTCCCCCAGCTTTATATGCTGAGTGTGCATACCATGCACACCATATGCATACCATATGGTATGGAATATCCTTTGGATCAATGGAGTCAGCTGTCCTGGCTCTCTCCCTTTCCAGATTCTTGTACATCCTCAGTCTCATTGCTGGTGGGGTGGTGTGAGAATTAGAAAAGGTCTTGATGCTGTTGGGAGCACTGCTCAGGAACAGCTAAAACATACCTAAATCTTGTAAGATAGAAAATGCTGTTTTCCTTATTTAACATACTAAGAACGGAAACACTGATTAAAGTTCGCTCTGATACGAAGTTCATAGCTGGCTTTGGGCAAGTCACCTATGTTACATTCTGCAAGGTACCAATCAAAGGCGCCTTTGATAGCTTAGGGATCAGAGTGCTGATTTCACTGAGGAATTCTGCCCAAGCTCATTTGACTTGAACTGGTTCCTTCTGAGATAATTTTGATATGTAAACAAATCCATGACTTTTGACCAGGGTCATTCACCAATTCCCTGGCAAATAAAAACTTAATTCTAGGTCCTGCCATGGTCCATGGGGGAGAGGTGAAGGATCGCGGCACTGCACAACAGGGTTCAAGCGATGTTTGAGGTGCAATGGCTCCTTTATTGAAAGTTTTATGCGGGGCTTTTATAAGCTCTGGCATGGAATGCACCAGAAAATGGGGTGGAGCATGAGACAGACAACCAGGGAAACGAATAGGGGTAGGGACTCTGGGGAAGAGGGAGGAACTGGGGAGGAGCTGGGGAGGAACCGGGGAAGGAAAGGACAAATGGTAGCTCTCTCCACACTGCAGCTTCTTCAGCCAATCAGAGGGAGAAGCAGGGAAGCAGGCACCTCGAGGCATGCCTGGGCGAGCCCGGGTATTACAACTGTAGGGGAATCATACAATGTGCATATTTGTAAATACATAAGAACTGTAAAGTCCATATAATAAAGTCCTTTCAATTGCTGTATATCTTTTTCCAAGCCCGGAACCGTTCCCATTCTGATTCCTGCTCCTCCACAAGGTCCTATCATTCTTCTCACTCATTACTGAAAAAAGTAACAATGAGTTTCTTATTTGAATAGTTCATAAATTACAGAATCACAGAATACACTGAGTTGGAAGACACCCACAAGGATCATCAAGTCCAACCCTTAGCCCTGCACAGGACCATCCCCAAGAGTCACACCATGTGCCTAAGAATATCATTCAGATCCTTCTTGAACTCTGCCAGGCTTGGTGCTGTGGCTACGTCCCTGGGGAGCCTGTTCCAGTGCCCAACGACCCTCTGGGTGAAGAACCTCTTTCTAATATCCAACCTAATTAAGTGCACAGTGGTTTTTTTTCCTGTCTAGCTAAGGCGAAGGGGAAAAGAGCATATTGTCTCAGTATTAGATGTGAGGCTTTGAATTTCACACTATGAAAATTTACCTATGTGCGGTATTCTTTTATCAGATTCTGGAAGCTGTGATAGACCCTTAAAATTAACATCTGAATTCCTGTAAACTTCACTACTTCTGTCAAGCAGTTTAAAAACATTGTTGATACAGAGGCTTATTAATTACTAGTATAGTCTTTGTAATTGCCTAGTCTAGAAATTGATGAACAAAGTCATTCCAGAAAGCAATCAATTTGAAATCTAATTTGTTGGTGAAATGAACCATATAAACAAAATGCCACTTGCAGTTTGACTAAAATGAGATGTGCTTAACGAGCCTATCATCATCTGTAATATTCATCATGATGGGTCACAGTTACAAAAAATGTCATAAATCTCAACCAATGCACATAAAGCTGAAATATAAAATTGTATTCTGAAAAGAATAAAACATAAAACAGATGGCTGCCCCATGGTAACATCCTTAAATTTCACATGTTCTATTCATTGACTTTTGGGCAGATGAACTGAAACCAAGTAGGGAAGGGGGGATAAAGCAGGTGTCCTTTTCACAGTGTGTTTTACCTTATTATCCATATTGGAAGTTGAGACTGACTGAGGAGGCAGAAGGTCTAGATTTGAGCGACCAAACATAAGCCCTTTTGGAGTAAAGTGATTAACAACTTTTCCATCTTTATTTTGAATAGCTCTAGAGCCAATTATGCAAGGCAAAAAATAGATTATTGCAGGCAACATGGTGGAAGCTCGAGGACTTGCCAGAATGTTTTATTTTAATTTTTTTTTTTAATTAATAGTGATGAATAAGAGTGATAAGTAAAGTTGTAAGTAAAAAGTATGAGATGGTTGGATACTAAAAAGACACTCAAGGGGCTAAGGAACTGACCTGCCTTAGATAATATGAAATCTAGTTTCTATTTCTTCCATGCTTAGCTAACCAGACAGTATGTCTCCTCCCTTCTGACTTATGACCCTATTTTTCTTTGGAAGGTCTAAACCAAGAAATCTGCAGTTACAGCTTTAACATTTAATATTGGACGATTGGATATTTCCCAGAAATTCCCTTTTAGACAATTATTTATTAAAAGGTATCTGAAAGTCCAGGAAGAAAGGGGATTTGCTTAAATAAAAATATGGTTTCTTGTAAGTAGTGAGGGAGCAGAGTCCTGTATACAGAGAAAATTTTAAACCTTTTATGGAACTCCAGAAGAGTGAAAAAGTATTTAAAAAAATGGAAGGAAAGAGAGGAGATAAGATGTGTTTGCTACATATTCATTGTCTTCTATGACAGATATTTATATGTGAATGGTTGTGTATCTATGGATGTGTGCTTATACAGATGTATATGTGTGTTCTATATGTGACGTATCAGTGTACACGTAGAAATATCATATATACTTATATACATATGCATGTGCTGAAAGAGAAGGAGGTGTGAGAACTCTGCTGAAGCCCTTTGCTCTGTGGAAAGATGTTCTTTTGGTGTATCAACTATAAATAAAACATATGCAATGTTGTTGATACTTTTTTTCCTTTTTTTCTTATTATAGGATTGGGAAGCAAAGGGAAACATCTTAGGTAGGGGGCTGGATTGTGATCTTACAGCAATATAAATTCATTGGTTTCAGTTCAGTTATTCCAGATGAAAACAGCACAACAGAATCAATCCCCTAATCACTGAAGCGTTACCTGATGGCTTTTAAAATATGAAGAGTCTATTGATTTCTACTGTCAGAGGACGGTATCTTAAAGCAGTGTGTTTATGTAAGTGAGAGAGAGAGAATAGCAAATTAAAATCAGTACTGCAAAAATATCTTTCCTTTTGCTCAGACAGATGTTTTTCAAGGAGAAATAAATATCAAAATATGGGAGAAAAGGTTTTTTTGGCTGGAATTATTCTTTTCTCCTGCCTGTACTGCCAAACCCCCATTTTTCAGGAACATATTGATGAGTATGTGGATTAACACAGCAAAGAAAGAACAGCTATCAGATTAGCTCTGGCAGAAAGCTACATGAGCAATGCCACCCTGCTTCTGGTACCTGAGCTAGTCAGGGGCCCCAGAGGTGTCTTATTCCACTTGGGGCCCCACGGAGAGAAGGCTTGAGTCTGGGCACTTAGGAGATGGATTTGATACTGAGCCTGGTGAGCTTCCCAAGCCCAGGCAGTTGAGACCAATTAGAGCCTTTTCAACAGAGATAGTCCTTGTGTGGGGAGTGCAGCAGGGCATCTGTAGGTGACCCATTATAAACAAACCCCTGCTGTGTTCTGACAGAAGAAAGCACTAGTTTTCTAACATGCAAGGTGTACTGCCAGGCTTACATAGCCAGATTTGTTCGACGGAAGTGGTGTGATTAGCTTTTTAATTTGGAAGAGAGTTCTTGGGGATATAGTTTTGTAAATTGTTGAATCAATTAACTTTTCATAGGAAAACTGAGCTCTGCAAATTTAATGAAATCAATGAACAGCTATAACGATTTTTTTCAATTTTTTTTTTTTTTTAGCAGAAAAAAAGAAATTTCTAGAAATCATTGTGGCTACTTAATATTTCAATAAGGTCTCTGCT